TCTGTAGACAAGAAACGTATAGCATGTCTGGCACGTGGCTTAAATTATTCGCTGTCGTGGAAAGAATAAATTTCAGAATGCAAGGTCAGACTTTCATAACAGTTAATGTAAAAGTTATGCGAGTCAGGAACAACGCCTGTGCATAGTATATATATATACAGAAACGAACACATACATATATACATACCTTTACATAAATACAGAACCTTGATAAATAGTTTTAATTTAGTAGAAATATATTTTCATGTGTTTCAGTGTTAATGATATCACGATTGTTAAGGTTAATTTGTTTTACCACAAAATAATAATCGAATCAAAGATCGGGTGTGACTTAGTAGTTAGCATGCCAAGCTGTGGATGAGAACACGTTCCGCACCTTGAGCTGTGGGTGTGTTATAAGAGCAATAGACAATCCCGTTATTCGATTCAAATCCGGACAAAGCCGTCCCTCGGTGGGACAGCGGTAAGTCTTTTGATTTACAATGCTAAAATCAGGGATTCAATTCCCCTTGGTGAACACAATGGATGGCCCGACGTGGCTTTGCTATAAGAAAACACACACACACGCACCCTTGTGTCGGCAGGTGCTGTTGACTGCGAAAAGATGCACACTTGGGTCGGCAGGTGCTGTTGACTGGCTGATTTTCCTCTGGTCTGTAGTTCAATGTTAGTATCGGCTGTACTTGAACTTTAGGGGGCTCTTCCTTTCCCCTTTAGTTTATGTGTTGAATAAAGTGCCCTTCAGGTTAAAAATATAAATACTCTCTACCCCGCTATCCCCAAAAAAGTTTAACTTTCTTGATGCTAGTTTTTGTTTGTGCGAAATACCATATTAGAAACTATACAGATGTAAAATCATAGTTTATAAGTCATTTGTTAAATAAAATAGAAACAACGTGTACGTTATCTCGGTTTTCTTATGATAAAAATAAAAAACTTTTTACGTTTAATGTAGTAGACAGTATTGACCTGTGCTATTACTGAAAGTGCTCGAACGTGTAATGAATTCTGTGTTCACTGCAGACTTCTTTAATTTATATTGATAGTGGAGAGTTATGGCTTCGTTAGCTATAGATTTAGCTCCATGCTGAACACGTTTCTCCTTTGGACGGATCTTGAACTGCATTAATTTGCATGTACAATTCTTGGAGTTGATTCAATTCATTAACTATAAAGGCACTTGCTTTATACATCGATCAAAGTGCTTCGTGGAGGCCAACTCTTTGCGTGGCTAAGTAAAGACACGACCTAAAAAAAGATAATATTATTGCGCATATATGTGTATTAAACTCAACAAAAATATCATAATCGAATGTCAGATATACTTGGAAATTGTCTACATAACTAATAAAATAAAACGATTTACTTTCAAATTACCTTTTACACATTTCACTTTCAGCTTGGCTGGACAAGATTGTTTGTTTGTTTTGAATTTTGCGCAAAGCTACACGAGAGCTACCTGCGCTAGCCGTCCCTTATTTATCAGTGAAAGACTAGAGGAAAGGCAACTAGTCATCACCACCCACCGCCAACTCTTGGACTACTCTTTTACCAACGAATAGTGGGATTGACCGTCACATTATAAAGCCCCCACAACTGAAAGGGGCAAGCATGTGTGGTGAGATGTGGTTTCGAACCCGCAGATTGCGAGTCGAGCGCCCTAACCATCTGGCCATGCAAGACCCACCTAGACAAGAAATTAAAATTCAAAAGTCCTCACTTAACATTGAAATCAAAAGCACATCTCTTGTTGAAGTATTTCGAAACCTACATCTGCAAGTGACTGTATGGAGCATAAAATTATTTAGAATTTAAGAAAACAGTTTAAATCATTATATACAGTTAACGTTGATGTTAAGTTCCAACAAAACAACGTTATTAAATGAGGATTAACAATGTAAAAAGGTATTGCTGTGCTTCAAAAATGAAATATCTTCGTTTTATGTACAATAAATTATATTGTTATATATGAAACACTTAAAGCATAAATAATTGAGAAGATAAAGCATTCATTAAGCTGTTAAGAACTAGTGTTAACTTATAATTAAACTTAGATTGTGGAAATTAATAACTGATTTACAAACAAAACGTCTGATTTATAATAATTTATAAAAGTTATATGAAACAGACTGGGCTCTTGACACTTAATTGTTCTTTCAAAATATATTCAAGATGGCTTCCAAATTTTATCATCATTTTTTTCTAGGCTTTTAATATTTCATTAAATCTCTCTCTCTCGGCCCTGTTTACAGAGCGGGTAATGTGTATGAAATCACCGTCACAAATATGTGTTAAAAGCGTGACCGTATGGAAAATAACCAGAAAAGTTTAGGTAAATAACTTTAAACCCTTTGTATAGTAGAAATTGTGCTTGTTTCTATGTTAATGTTCTTTTAGTAACGTCTTTTGCTGGCAAGTCATAATATGCTTCAATACTTAAATTATTTTACGCTTTTACCATCACTGATTGTTATCAAAATTTGTATTTTCGAAAAAAAATGTTTGGTAACCATAAAATATTATAAACAAACTAAAATATATATATATATATATTTTTTTTGCCAGTTCCATAAAATTACAATGATTCGTGGATTGCAATTAGGTCGTGTTTGGAGTGCTAAATACAAAGGTTTGAGTACATTATATCAAAACGATTTTGAATATGCAATTGAGGGAATCACATGATAACCACATCCGATATAAAGTCGCAGTAAACCGGAATGTATCAGAACTTCATTTTTGACATTACTTGGCGTTTCACAAGTAGTATGATACCACAGAAAATTTGGGAACGATATACAACAGTTCTTTCGACGCAAAATATTCATACACTTATCATAAATATGTATTTAGATCGGGGATTTAGTATCTCGAAGACGAGAATATACCTTATATTTAATGATATAGGAAAACACAGAAATGTGGATCAATTGGGGAACTAGGACCATCCAGAAACAGACCTCAACAAGTCATATCCCATCCGTGGTAAGCAAAGTACATCGTTTTGTAACAGGTGAGAATCTGTTACATAGAGCCGTCAACATGCTCCAGATAACAGAATGCAAATTAATCAAGAAGGATCTCCACATGGAAAAGCGACACAAGTAACGTGTACCCAAGATGGGTTCACGACATGTCCGTTTAAATGTGAGAACGGGTTGGCCCTGTGGGAAAGTTCTGGATTCCGAAGCTGGAGAATCGGCTAGAAATCATGTGATACCACTGAATAATCTTCACACATTAAGCTTTATATGATGGGTGCTAAAGTGCTGCTGACTGTTTGTCTTCCCTTGGATTTGTAGATGAAAGTTAGGGACAGATGTTGATAGCCTTAATAGTTTTGTCATAAATGCAAATACAATACTGTTCAACTGTAGCATACTACAAGCAGATGGAGTATGGAACGAGTATTCATGTTATTCCTAACAAGAACTACCAGTCCAGTCGCAGGAAACAGCGCTCATGGATTTTTTTGTGTGACTGGACGCTAGTAAACCGTTGTCTTCATACATTAAATGGATTGTGGAAAAACTTCATGGAGGAAGGGTGTGCTTTGAACATGACAGCCTTACGCAATAAAAACTACTGTCAAGATGCACGGTTGTCATGTAGAATACTACCCAGACATAGGAATGTTGACTGTAACGAAGAGGTGAAGTTCCAAAATAGTTTTAATATAACGTATTTATTCTGCGAGTCGTGGGATCGTATCTCGTCGCCTAACATGCTCGCCCTTTCAGCTGTGGGGACATTCTAATGTGATGGTAACTCCCACTTTTCATTGGTAAAATGTTGTCCGAGAGTTGGCAATGTTTGGTATTGATTAGCTGCCTTTCTTCTAATCTATCACTTCAAAATTAGGGGCGGTTAGCGCAGATAGCCCTCGAGCAGCTTTGCACAAAATTCAACAAACATAAATAATCCGAAAGGTGCACAATGAACTGTGCTATGCCAGTTGAAGGGATCAAATTTTGAATCTTAACTTTATAAGCCCTCGAACTTATCGCCGAGCTAAGGAGGCTGATATGTATATACAATTTACTATTCATATCAAAAAAGAGGTTATTGTGTTACTAATTGTTATTGTTTTTCCCCGTGTTTATGTAATTAATAATTTTATATTTAATGAAAATGTGCAATAAAAAACTCAGGTATTGATGAAATTGCACTCAAATTCAATAATATAATATAATATAATTCAATTGTAATATAAGGAACCTCTTCTTTAATTATAATATTATTATTATTAAAGAGCGTGTCTGTCTGTGATGTCTTTGGGAAAACAGCCAATATTGCCTAACCAGAAGCACTGCAACGGTAAAAAAAAATTAATAAATTCTGATAAAATGTGATAGAAATTTCTGATATCAAATACAAATATGAAATATTTAACGCAATCATAAAATTGTTTGATAATAAATAATTCATAATTTACTGTACTTTCTTTACAGCTTTCTTGTGTTTCTGGAAAATAAAAAATGTTTAAAATATTTTTGACTGTTCTTCTATGCTGCAATAGGTTCAGAATACACATACTGACATAGTCATCTAGAAAATAGCAACCTGTCCCCCGGTGGGATAGAGGTAAATCTTCAGATTTACAATACTAAAATTAGAGGTTCGATTCCTCTCGGTGGACACAGCAGATAGCCTGATGTTGCTTTGCTATAACAACACACACATATCAACCTAATATCCCAAGCGAATCCAGGTACTTTCGTTAGTACAATAATATTTAAACAGAGAAAAATGTTAACAATCTTTCATGTGGAGTTGTTTTTGTATATAAAGTTTCGAACTGTTTGCGTAAATCCAATAACAAATACAATAATATTTAAACAGATAAAAACTTTAACAATCGATCATGTGGAATATAAGGTAACGTGTATGCAAATATTAGACCATCACCACCTAAGTATGAAAAATACCAATGTTCTTTCGCATTATAACAAATTCAAAACTCTATATCATCAAATGTTTTTGTAATCATCATCACCCACCTGAATAGCTGATTATCAGAACACGCTGTGTTTCCACACTGTTTGCTTGCTGTAAACGTTCGAGACGACTGTAACCATAGAAACAACGATTTCATAAGAACATCTACATTGTCTGCCAAGTCCACTGTAAATTTAATATAAAACGCTTCCAATAGAATCAAAAACAGAATAAATCTATGCATCACAGAATGCCACAGAACTTTAGAAAACGTTGGAAAATAAATTCTTGATATTTATCCAAATAAATAAATCATTACCCACTAGTCTTGGGCTAATTTCTAGTGGAAGTACATCTACAAGGTACATTTACACTCTAATATATTTTTTGAGGTTATTTCAGATTGCTTTTTTCTCAAAGTATAGCTGATTAAGCAGCTGAGATTTCAATCTAAAAAAAAAAAACTTTACTTTCTCTATCTGTTAAAGTGAAATATTCTTTTTTTCACATCCATAGAATTACGTTGATTTTAACATCAACATTGTTTTAAAAAGAGTTTTATGGAGATTATAATGATTCATTATTCATATATTAAGTATGTCCCCCGGTGGGTTATCGATAAGTTTAAGGACTTAGAACGCTAAAGTCCAAGGTTCGAATCCCCGTGATGGACAGATCGCAGACAGCCCATTGTATAATTATACACTGAAAAAAACAACATTAAATACAGTGCTTTAATTGATATCACCGTTGTGAACTGACTCACACAACATAGCACAGAAATATTGGGTTATTTTCCTGCAAAAAAAGATTTATATTACTTTCCGCTACTAAAAGTACTTTATCTGCACCAGCTAATTAAACTTATTGTAGTTCAAACAATCTTGCCAATTTAATTAGATTTTGCTCATATTAACCTTAGATCACAGAGTTCTTGAGATCCTTAACTAAATAACTAAGTAATTGAAGACAGGAAGAGCTTCAGCAAAGTTGAGAAGTTGCAACTATCAAACACATAACAACAACTGTCATATTTCTCTAATTAATTTACTAAACTCTCTAACTAATAACTTTCCATTTGCTGCACACGTTCTGTTTACAACTTCTACTCTACCTTCTGTTTATACTCTAATTCAATATTTCTTGAATATTTTTAAAATATCACTTTTTTAGACGTTAATAAGCATCTTACTTTTTTAAACCTTCTTTATAATAAGATTAGTTATTAAACTTACGTTACGCATATAAAATAAGTCTTATTGGTTAAAGCTTTCCTTCCATTTCAACTCACGTATTACAAAATCGAGCATGAGTTTTAGTTCGTTGTTATTTTCATTTTAGATTTCATATCATTTAACACAATATTGATTATCACAAAAACTACTTAGTAATTTTCAACTCTAACTAATTTTAATAGATGAGATATTGTAGTGCAACACACAGACAAAATTATTGTTCACGTCACTTTTCTTTTCGTAATCATAAGGTTTTCCTATAAGTGTTTGTAGTCACTTGGTGCCGAGTGAGGCTCGGTGGTAAGCCTGCTGGACTATAGGTCTCAAGTCCCTGAGTCACGCCTCGTTAACGCCATAAGAAAATTGCACTCCGCACTTTTGGGTCATGAGTACGTTTTAAGAGTGACAGTCAAAACCAACTCTTCATTCTGACAAAAGAAGTCCATCAGTTAGCGGTGGGCGGTATATTACTATAAATTTAGGGACGGCTAATGCAGATAGCCCTCGAGTAACTTTGCGTGAAACTCGACAAATAAACAATTGTTCACCTGAATGGCACTTAATCCACACGGTGAGAAAAACAGAAGGAAGATAACAAGCACGCGCTGTTTGAAGCAGGTACTAAATAGCGGTACTAACTGTCGTTGTTTATTTAATACACAGCTTGAAGTGTGAAGTGTAAAAGAAAAAAAAAATTTACGTTTTTTTGAAATTATTCGTTAAATGGATAAGAAATATTTAGTTACCAAACTAAATATTTTTTCCCTACATAAAAATATTATTTCCATACGTTTTCCCTACGTAAAATGGCAAAAAAATAAAGGTTTGTGTTTGCGTATCAGATTTGGAAAGTACTCAGAAATATATTATTTATTTCAAGTACGTAGGTCAGAATGTGTTAAGCTTCATTTTATAATAACAGATGAAAAGCAAAGCTGTTTCGAATAGAACATAATTAAACATTAATATGTATTTTGATTGTATGATAAGATGAATGTAGGTACTGTTCCTCATGAAACAAACTTCTGTATGTTAATATTCTAATATCTAGGATACAAGCAAATCTAGGGTTAAAACTCAAATGCAGTTTCCTTCCTGCGTTGCGTACATAAGTATATAATAAAACACAATATAAAAACGTTTAAAATAAAGTTAGGACAATTTACAATAGTTGACAGTACTTTTCATTACAAAACGTATTTTCAAAGTGAGTAAAATTACATAGATACAAATTCTAATTTAATGAAATACTAAGACTGAAATTTTGCTTGTTTTTAGGTTATTGTACAGCATATAGGAATCAAAACTACTCCACAAAAACAGAAAAAAAAGTTTAAAATTTGCAAAGCCAAATTTAGGTTTTGGTATTGCACAAGTAATCTATAGAAGGTGAAACGATCATACAATTATGTAGAACCAAGGGATCTAAGACTTCTTGCGAGTTAAGTATGACGTAGATCAGAATATTAAATTACTTAACTTGGTATCTATGTGGTATTCTCAGATGAACCAATTTCCTCGCTACTATCGAACTGCAGAATCCAAAAGAAAATTTTACAGCAGTCCGAACTTAAAAAGTCGCCTGGGTTTTAAGCTGCGTTAGAAATAAACAGGCTGGACACTTGTGATGTTAAGTGAAAAAAAATCTTTATTTATAACGCACCAGAAAAACAGTGTGCATACATGTGAAGACAAGTGGGTAAACGTCTTTCCTGGATCAGTGAATATACCTGTTGGTTTTTTTCCTTAAATACAAGAACCTTGGAAACTAGTAACATTGAAAACCAGTCAGAACTCTGAAGAACTAAGGCTCTATATTGAAACTGTAAACCTCGATTCCTTTGTGTTATGATAGCTTCACCACATGACTAGTTATTCTCCCTTAGCGTTCCTCAGCTATAATATATGGACATTATCTACTCGACCAGCAAAGGATGTTACAGTTGTTGATATTTTCAACACGGAGGTATTGGTCCATCTCTTCCAGCACAGTAGATGTTATCTGCTACAGAGAACAAAGACACAAAGGTAACTAGAACAAAGCACTTCAATAGTTTTCTGGACCACATGCTTTGCTAAAACTGCAAAGTCAATGTGCTCTTTGAACATGTCTCGAGTTTAATGCGTATTGGTTTTAAAGTTAAATTTAATTGTTGGCTTGAGGACAAGCCTGAAACAGAGAAGGAAGGAAAAGTGCAGCTTATCATATATTTCCATCCACTATTATTGATATAGGAATTCTTTAAATATTTTATTTAGTATATTTTAACCTTTGTTCCTATGAACATATACACACCACATAAATGACACAACCCTTCAACAAAGAACCAAAACTTTATGACAAAATAAAACTCTTTAATTAATTACTGTTACAGTTTAATACATTGCTTAAACCCTGTAACTATAATTTGAATATAAGATAATACATAGAAAACATATTAAAAGGTAGTGTTAAACACTACAAGTTGAAACAGTTAAAGAAAACCGTTTTTAATATATACCATAAACTAAAACAAATTCAATAAACAAAATACTACACAAATCAACCATTTACCATATAAAAACATACATATCACACAAAATAAAACCCTTTAACAAAGAAATTTAAGAATATCCTTTAATAAAGAAAAACAATTCCCAATTACACACTTATATCAATACGAAATCCTTTAACAAAGTAAATTTTCATTTAATAGGAACAACTTTAACGAATATTTTCCTACCATCTTTAGATGGGATGGTTTAACAGGCCATATATAAGTACATAAAAAAGAATTAAAATCCTAGATTATTATAATGAAAACATACTAGACCCTAGAATGATTAAACAATCAACAATAAAAATGAAGTACACTGCAATAATACAAAAAATAACTCTTTCATGGCTAAAAAAAGAAAAATCAATGAACATATAAATAAACTTGTCAAAATCTTTATACAAAATAACCTTCAAAAATTAAACACATAACACATAATGATGCAATGAGAACACAACTCAGCACGAATCAAAATACAAAACAAATTCTTCATAATAAACACATTAACATTACCAATTATAGAAATTAAAACATAGCACAATATAAAATCCTTAAATGAATAAAAATACAAAATGAAGCCATTGTGAAAATTTACATGTTAAAATAAATCACTTTCACCGAAACAGAAGCAAAATATAATCAAAATAGCTATGTACATATATATGACAGAATATTCTACTAAAATATTCATAAACACGCATTGACTGAAGTGATGAAAGTTAATTGAATAATTAAACAATTCACAACATATGTTCATCCACTGAACATTGGGAAGTAGTACTCTGATCTCCCAATGACAGAACTTCAGCATAGGCACCTGCTGCAACAAGTCTCTTTTCAGCAGATCTCGGGCATAAACGTCCACTACTTTCTTCATTATTGGAGTGAACGTGACACTGACCATCAGTTGGGCTGTTTTTGTGTCTCCTCAAGACAATCACCAGAAGTACCAGTAATCCACCAAGCAATTGCACGTGCTCAGGGAATAATGAGAAACAAAGGGTGGAAAAACTGCTGGCTAGTTCAGGATCATAGTAGCCTGAATCATTCAAATTTTGATCCTTCACACAAAAGTCCAGATTCTAATTTCATGAGTCAAATGTTCAGATAAGTGGATAGGTTAAGGTGGGTTGTAACATATTGTTATACCCTTAACTATGACGGCAGATATTGATCAAGGAACATGTCTATAGGCTTTGCATATAGAACATATATCCTGATACCAATTGTTTAATGTTTACATTACATATTTCTTTTCATTTCACAAAAAGTAAAATTTGAAACCCAACCTGTGATGTAGAGTCCGAATGCATTGCTTGATTCGCCACACAGACTGTATTTTCAATTTTACCTTTGGTTAAATGAAAAGGAATCTATAATGTAATCATTAATCAGTTGGTCCACCCTGTAATACCTAATAATAAATTAGGCAAAATGCTTTGATATTATTCACACACAACTAAACTAGTTTAGGTTACTGTAAGTTGAGTTAGAAACGACTTAAAACCCCCATAATTATTATATATACTGCTCAATTAGGGACGGCTATCGCAGATAGCCCTCGTGTAACTTTGCGCGAAATTCAAAACAAAGAAACAAACAATCCTTTGCATATAACATTGACTCTAAAGGTCATCAAACACAACAATGTAATGTAAATATGATTTTTGAAAAAGCATGCGCAGAAGTGTATGTATATCACACTTGTGGTGAGTTTTTGAATTGGTTTTAGAAAGACAGAAGATGTTTAGAATCGTGTCATGTTGTGGAAGTACCTTCATTTGCTTCCGATTTTTCTGTAACCTTCGTTATGCTCCTGACTTATAATGAATAAAACAGTGTAATACCCTCTAAGTTTTTCCAATACAATCGATCTAGTTAAATAATTTGTTTTAATTTGATCTCTCTCTCTCTCTTTCTTTCCCTCTTTTTTATTTTTCCTTTCTTCTCTTTCATTATCATTTTAATTTTCTATTCATTAAAATGATTCAAATGCGTTTTTTTTCAAGTTATTTTTGTTTTGTTTTTGTTTTTTTTTGTAATTTTATGCTCATGTACTGTTACAGATTATGTTTTCTGAGTTTAAACTATTGTGTTTTTCGCCAGAGAGATTGTTGATGATAAGTAATGATTGTATCATGTGGAAATTTTCTTCAAAGTGTAGGAGACGACATAAATTAAATAAAACGCGTGTTAGGCTGAACTAGATTAGATTATTGATTGAATGTTCCTTAGCTGTTTAGTTATATTAATACTATAAATTTTGAGTTTGTTTGTTTGATAAAGATGTAGAGATACGAGAATTACCATCCATAAAGTGATTGTTTAGCGTTATTTGTGAAATTAAACCTAACGTGCTGGTGGTTATGTAAAACCGAGTAAGTGCAAATCCTGTACTCGAGGAGATAAAACGTATTAATTGATCTTAGCCTCTACATTCTTCTTTTTACCGAATAATCCAAAAATAACCTGCCCAATAATAGAAACCGTTAGAATAATGGTGTCAAAAGTGTGATTATTTTGAAATTTTGCTTGAATTAATGAAACAGTGAAAAGATTA